GCTTATTTCATCAAGAATCCCAAGAGAAATCTTAACATTTTGGTATTATTCAAAAATACAAAGAGAATACTCACAAATCAAAACATGCATTAATGAATAAACATGGTAAAAATAGATGCTACAGGAGATTGATCTAGTAAGAAGAGGTAGAGATGCTTGCCTTAAGAGATATCGGTTGTAAAACACGAGTTTTTCTCCATCAATCAAGCAAAACTTGTGTCTTTACCTAAAACAAATGATTCTACACGATATCTTAGATCTGGAATTCAAACAAAAAGAATGAGCAAGAAAAAAAACTATCTTAACTTGAATCTATGACTTGGATGAATTATGACCCCACTGTTCTCTTTCTCTTGATCTCCTTCACCAAAGAGCCTTCTCTCTCTCTCTCTCTCTCTCTCTCTCTCTCTCTCTCTCTCTCTCTCTTTCTCAAAATGCATTCTTTTTCTCTCTCTTAATCTCACTCTCACTCTGTGGAACTAGGATCTTTAGAAGAGAATTAACCTCTTCTATTTATAGTCTAAAACACTCATGACCTAAGCTTGTATATATTTTAAGCTAGCCTCTCTAAACTCTTAGGTTGACCCTCTTGTCATCCTAACTAAAATCTAAAACTATAAAAATGGTTTGGTCTAGATCAGATGCGAGGTACATGGTCTCGGGTCTTTCATCAACTCGATCAAAGATATCGATATCTGTATAAATATATGATACAATTTGGTGGGCCTTACACCATATATCTTTATGAATAATTTCATCCTTAAAATTCCAACTTCACCATTCTTATAAGACTTATCTAATGTCTACCAATCTGTTTACTATTATTACCACTCTCTTACTTCCGATATCCAATTGTAACTCTCAACTTATTTCGATACCTTTCTCACATCTAGATTCTCTAAGATATCTAGGATGTAAAGTAAAGACTTACAGGGAGGGTAGGAAAAGTCCTAATGCTTTGGGTTCAAATCTTCTGAAGAAATATGGAGAAAACAAGAAAAAAATTGAGTGCATGCACTGAAAAATGTGAGCGCATGCACTTGGAGGGTGACGCAACATGATACATGTTAGGAATAGAGAAACCCATTCTAAAGATAATAGACCCATTTGAGTAAGTGCACTTAAAATTTGGGTGCGTGCGCTCGACCTGTTGAGCGCTCGGGTATAAATAGTTTTGGGAATTTCTTGTCTTCCATTCTTCAATCATACTCTAGTGATCCAACCCCTGTACCTTCCAAAAAAAACCTCTTCAAACACATCCTCTAGAAACCTTAGCCCATATTACATCCTTAAAACTCACTACATCAAGCTTTAAATCTCTAAAAATTCCCAAAACTTTATCTCTAAATCCTGGGTTCACAAATCCAAACTTAATTCATCCAAACCTTTGTTTTTCACTCTAAGACTCTTTCTAAACATTTCTAATGGCCCCTAAAGGTGCCTCGTCTCTACCCAAGAAGAAGAAGGCATTGGCATCCAAAGGGAATGATGTCATTGATTTTTTTGGCGGGGTAGACTCATTGATCATCGGGCGAAAGATCACTATGATAATCTTGAGAAGTGGAACATGATCCCGAGAAGAAGGGTTGATTTTGGGGGCATAAGAAGGGAGGACTTCCCGGCAATATACTCTACGCAAGGATGCTATTATCAAATAAATAACCAGTGATCTATGAGAGGGGGTGTTGCAATTCTATTGCAACATGTCGATGAGGAACGAGGTGATCATAATGAAGGTCGGTTGGGCAAAAGTAGCATTCCACTAATAGACTCTCGCGAAAATCTTTAGGGCATTGTTTGAAGAGACTATGAATTCTTTTTGGCTGCTAGGCAAAGGATGAAAGGGTGAAGGACTTGACCACCTGTGAGATCGTGAATGAGGAGCTTGAGGCAGTGAGGTGAGGGAAGGGTCTAGTCACTTTGTCGAGCTTGAAGCTACTCACACACCTTGTGGGAATGGTAGTGACCCACAACATCTACCCAAAGAAGGGAAGGGTTGGAAAGACTCCCGATCAATACTTGTTGATGATCTTCTTCCTAATGCAAGGCCACCCAATCAACTTTGCGGACTTCATCTTTGTCACGATTTTAGAGGCAGTGATGGGTTCCTACATGTGTCATATAGAAACTTTGTGCTGTGTATCATCGAGTAATTCGATTGCCCATTGGAGGGGTTGACGAAAATTGTATTATCCTTGCTGTTGTTGGATGAGAAGGCAATAAAGTCAATATCTCTTAGGGATGAAGAGGGACATTGGAGGAAGAAGAGAAAATAGGTGGTGGAGACTGAGGAGGAGGACAACAAGGATGATGATGATGATGAGGATTAGGATGAGGCACAGGAGAGGGGCGATGTTGCTGCTTGAGGGGAGGCTGGTATTAACTCCTAGACGGGGATGCTGAGCATTACCAAGATGTGGTAGGCAATTAAGGTGAGGTGACAGAGGGAGGATTGAGCCGCTGTGAAGATCGAGATGCTACATCAGAAGCTATGAGCAACTACAATGGAGGTGAGGAAGAGCCATTATTTCATGTAGTAGTTCACAAAGTTCAAGGTATGTTTTCGATGTGGGAATAAAAGGGCTTCATATCTCCAACATTTCTTGCATCTGTGCCTTAGGACCTATAAGATTCCTCTCAGGATGAGGAGGTGGCCGAGGATGAGGTAGAGGAGATGACACTGAGGGCCGAGGATGGTCGTGGGAGGAGCGGAATTCAGAGTGATGATTGGCTTGCTTAGCCATCTTAGAGTGGTGGGGATTATAATGGTGGGTATAATGGAGGATGACCTGATGATGAGGGTGTTCATCCTTAGGATGAGACCCACAATGACTGGATATGATACTTTATCCTACGGAGATATCTCAGGAGGCATGTCTAGGTTTTTCTTTCTCCAGGTGTCAAGCATGTTACTATATAGGGTAAGGTGTACATGGTTTGGTTGATGGAGAGTCGAGCTTGTAGGTTCAACTAGATTATGTAGGGAGGTGGTCAGTTAATATGGGGTAAATAATGCTATGTTGCCAGTGTATAGCTATTAAGTTATAGTATACAATTAGATCCTAAAAATATGTGTGGACAAAAAAGGAGTGAAAGTGTAGAGATATAGAGAGCGTGTAATTATTTGCAAACAAAAGAATACTAGAACAAGAGGGGAGAAAGAGAGTGAATAAAATAAAGAATAAACAATGAGGAGAAATAAAGAAAATATAAAAGAACAAAATCAAGAAGAAAGAAACGAATCAAAAGGAGAAAAATTAAAACAAGTAAAATATGGAGAAAACCAAGTATAGAAGATAGAAATCTAGAATTGAATCCATTAGTTTATTTCATTTAGGATTTATGAACTATTCACTTTTTTTTTTATCATATTTTACTTTAGATTTACTAAGTATAGATTATCAAACTACTAAAAAAGCATAATTTATCAAATTATCATTCAAGCAAAATTTTCATTCATGAAAAGAATAACAACTAGATTATAATTCTAGAATTCATAGGTATAACATATCAAACCATCCAAGATAAGCATACATTATCAAAATTTTCTTCTATTAATTAGTTCTCTAATTAATTATCCTAAACATGATCACTTAAAGTATAAGAGAGCAATCTACAAATCATAAAAGAAATTAAATTAGTTTCATACAATTCTAGAATTTCTAAAAGGTTTAGTTACTCATTTAACTAAATAAAATTAAGGAACTAAATCTAGACTAGAAGGCATAAAAAAGAGATCTAGATTACAAGGAATAACAAAAACTTACTACAAAAAATAAGAATAAAAATAAAGAAATAAAGATATAAACTATGAGAATAAAGGAAATCTAACTAACAAAAATAAAAGAACATAAAAATAAATCTACACTAAAAAATATAATAAAATAAATTCTACAAAATATGAAAAATAATCAACAAAATAAAAGAGCATGGCAGTAAATCTACACTACAAGACATGAAATAAATCTAAAAATAAAGAGAAAATAAAATCCTAAAACGTGAATTCCTAAAAAAAGAAAATAAAAGAGAAAAATAAAAAGTTATATTGTAAAGGGCTGACCCCTTAAAAGTAAATCTCCATCCTCATGTTCATCAACAAAGAAGAAGAAATAAAAATTTAAAAGGCAGAAATTCTTTATATATTTATTGCAAATAAAAAGTTTATAATTTTGGAAGATCTTCTCAATTAAGTGTAACTGTCCTCTCCAAATGGAGTATTTACAAAAATTTTCACACTCTCAAACCATCACTCTCTGTTATAATTTTTCTTTTTTATAATTTTCAAAATTATTTTGTCTCTTTAATTTGTTTGGTGGATTTTGCAAATACTCCGCCACATTATGTACATTTGTAGGTTTGCGTTGTTCCGGGGTTCGACCTTTGCAGCGAACATTATTTTTCTCACTAATTTGTTTGGTTTTTGCATATACGTCATTCATCTTGTATACATTTGTAAATTTGGCATTTAATAAATTCATTTAGGCTTACATTTTAATTTAAACTATATTATTATCTTTATACTACGTATATCCAATAAGAATTCATCAATTTATCAACTTACTCTTACTTAATGGATTAGTTTGAATTTTAAGGGTATTTTTGTCTACCAAAAGATTTTTCCGAACTCATGCTTTTAAAGAAAGTATGATTTTTCATTTTCGATCCAGTTTCAGCCACCTATCTGAAACTAGATCGAAAGTGACGAAAAAACATCAAAAACTTCATGTGATTTTAAATCAAATCCCATGAAGTTTAAGACCTCATTTAAGGCATCATTAGCGCTAACCCAAGCGCTAATGAAGCCTTAAACTTCATGAGATTTAAAATCCCGTGAAATTTTTGATTTTTTTTCCATTTTCGACCCAGTTTTAGTCAGACGGCTGAAATTGGATCGCAAATGACAAATATTTTCAAAAGGGGTCGTTTTTTAAAATAAATTTCTAAAATGGTCTATTTTAAAAATTTGTTCATATAAATGCTTCTCTCATCTAAACCCTAACCCCAAAATCCCTGGCACCCTGGTCACAGAACTAAAGAGAAAAATCAAGCAATGGCGAAGAAGAAAAACAAGAAGAGCGGCGTCGCATCCATGGATATCTCCGTCGATGCTCCTGGCGATGCCCCTCAAGGTCTGTACTTTGCAGTCTCAGCTTCGATTTCCAATTTCGTTCTTCATGCTACCATCGAGCTTTGGTCTTAATTTTATTCTATTTTTGATTTTTTCGGTTCTTTGATGCAGCAATGGACACATCGGAAGGGAAACCCTCGAAAGCATCTGCCAGAGATGTCAACAGGTTAGAATCCGGTGATGTTTTTGAATTTAGAAGGAAATTTTTTTTTGAAGCCTTTGCATAGAAGTTGAAGCCGACTTGAGATTTATCAAGTGGATTTTTGCTTCTAAATTCGTGAATATATGGATTATTTGAAAAGGTGTATCTAACATGAGGAGAGTAAAGGCAATTAGGTTTTAGCTATGTTTGTTAAATGCAATTATTTGCTTTGTTGATTGGAGATGTGACCACTGCAGTTTAGGTTTTCATACCTTACCTGCAGCTGGAGATTCTAGGTGTCTTCGATGGGGGTACATATCATACAAGTATTGGCTAGTTTGAATTTTGACGAAGGACAAGTAGTTTAATTACTTTAGTAGACTATGGACTTTACATTTTATATGAAGGAGAACTGATGATGTACAGAAGTAGAAATTTTTCGCGCGAGTTGCTGATATATGATGGCTGGCTATGAAGTGCTGCGTCCGGGTTATGCTAAAGCTATCTCTTCACTATGTAGAAGGAAAATGGGATAAAATCTACACACTTATCTTAAAATCATTTAAGAAAGAAGACTAAGGTCGTGGTAGAAGATTGGAATTATATAGGGTGTTTGGGTTGATTAGAATTACAACAGTTGATGATATATTGAATGGAGTAGTATCAGATGATAAGATAGCGCGTGCTGTTATTGGTGTATACTTGACACCTATTTGTGTCGTGCTTAGATGTGTAGCTTCCATAGCATTTGAATTCATGTATAAAATTTGGAACCTTGCTACTGTAAAATTGAAAATAGAAAACGAGAAGGCTAATATAACAGTTAATTAGTGTAGAGGCAAATTATGAATTTTAAGCCAACTTGGAGTACAAAGAGGCGGAACATGAGGTTGATTGGAAATCTTCTGCAAGAAATGTAGAGTTGAGACTTGGGGATTTTAAGCCAGACTTCGAGAGATTGGATGTTTTGCGCCCAAATTCCAAACATTCTGGCTAACGCTTGCATTCTATATTGCCGCAACTGCTAGAAAGTAGGAACAAAAGAATACATTTAGTTTAGGTCAAGTTGTAGCTGATAACTGTTTATCAAAACCATTTGTCTTATTATAACGGTGTGCTTGTGTACTAAATTTCTATAACTGCATGATCTTTTGTACAACAATAAGATCAAAATTAGCGGCGTGAGCTTGCCCACTTTGATGCCGTAGAATGCATTTTTGTAGGTGTACGCTGAAGATATTAGAGGATATGCTTGCTAAATTTTTGATGTTTATGTATGTGCAGATAATACATATATAGTACGCAATTTATGTTGATGTAGGGCTTTATTTTTGTAGAACAACAAGGTTAAATGGCAGATAGTCCCCCTCATATATACCTTCTCAAAATGCAAATCTCAAGGGTGACAAGTGCTAATAAATTAGTGGAGGGGTGGAAAGTGCTATTGAGTTGTAGACGAGGGGGTTATCTGCAATTTACCCTAACAACTAATGAATAATGAAAGTTTTGTTGCAATCTGTTTCTTGCTGTTAGATGATCAAAAATTACTTTTATGCCTACATGCATGGTTGATGATTAGCATAGCCCTCTTGTGTGTTTGTTGGGGATGGAGAAAATTTTATGTCCCAAATTCTTGGACTTATCCATACTGAATGTATATCTACCATCATTGGTTTGCTACAATTAGTGATGTACTGTTGTTGTTTCTGAAGCTTAAATCAATCACTATCCAATCTGCAGCATTGGGTACAATCACATGTTTGAGGAATAAAAGGGAAGAAAGTATTTTGGATGCCATAATAATCTTCACATCTCATTTAGGATAATTTAGCATGTGTTAAACAAAAAGGTATTCCTGATATGCAGCTGTAAATTATGAGGTTTATAGCAGTCCCTAGCCAGGCGGCAGCATTAAGAACAACCATATCTTAATGAGTAGTAGGGAAGATTATTTTTGGATGCCATAATGATTTTCTTCATATCTTACATGGGATAATTTAGCATACCCTGTTATATATTTCTTGTTTGCTTGTTGTTCAAGAGTTGCAATTTGCTGGTGACCTGATTTGATCCATTGAGTGCCCAAATTAATCAGTCTTTGAGTACAAAGTCGAAGCGAACTTAGAGCTTTATAGCATGCCTCGAAAATTATAATTGTCTTGCAGTCTCTAAACTGTGATGTTTGACAGTAAGGTTAAAATGTCGTTGCTACACTAGAAACGATCCATCTTTTGACTTTGATTGTCACTCTGTCCACTATTTAATATTTTATTGACCTTGAATGAAGGTCTTTTATCTGTTTATATTTCCTTAACCAAGTTAATGAAACTATTATTAGCTCATATCTATTAGGATATGGTGATTGTTAGCTATTGATATTATTACTTCAATGCTTCTGATATCAGAAAGATCAAGAAGGGAGTGCCAATGAAAAGATCAAAGAACCTCAGGAAGCTAAAAGCACTTGCGAAAGCTGTAGCCATCAACGAGAAGTCTGAAGAAAAGGTTTCAAGAAGTAAAACAAAAATTCAGAGGATTCAATCGGCCAAGTCATTATATGATTAAATTAGACATAAATTTTCTATTGTTCACAGTTCACTGATAAGGAAAATTGTTAGTCTTTTGTTATCAATATATCTAAGCTTTTTGTTATTCTTTCAGAGTGCATTTGCATCTTTTTCTTGTAGGCTCTTTCTTCCTCTGCTTAGATTTCAGTCTGTTTAAAATATCGATATATCCATAGTGCTATATGTTAAATGTGTGCAAGGTTGAGATATATTGTGTTAGAATTAAATCGTATTGTAGCTTCTGACCCCTATGTGGACTTGTCTAAATGAAATATATCGTGGATTCATGGTATTATGTATTATATTAAATAAATTTCATTTATCCCTTTCAAGTTAGCAGTTGAAATTATCTAAATTTCATTTAACCTTTCCAAGTTAGCTGTTGCAATTATCCATACTGCTTTGTGTTAATTTTAGTGATGTGTAAGGTGAGATATACTGTGTATAGAGTTGAAATCATCTGACTTATGAGCCCTTTAGGGTAAATTTCACATAA